TTTTAGAAATTTTTTTTTTGGGTTTTATTTTTTTTTTTTTTTTTTTTTTTTTGAGAGGTTTTTGCTATAGGCCACGTGCGCTCACCAGACAGACAGAGAGAGACATAGAGACAGAAAGTGAGAAATCACCCCCCCGGGGGGATGGTCACGCCGCAGTCCCTTCTCCTCCATTCTCCTCTTGGGATCTTGGGCACACACGCACACGCGCCCGGCGTGAGTTCTAAGTCACTGGGTCCGGGATGCCAACCACGGTTGACTATGTGGGAATCCAGCGACATAGCCATTACGCTAACTGCTGGTTCCCAAGTTTTTTTTCTTAAAACGGTGTTATACAAGTAATGATAGTACTGTGGAGTTTATTATCCTAGTTCAAGGAATAAAAGGTTTAAGTGATAACAGGCAACTAAAGGAGATTTTACTACTAGGGATTTTGATATTAAAGTGTCTACAAATACATGATAGATTCTACTTTGTGTATTTTTCTTTGAATTTACTATAAGCATGCATTACTATTATAAACTCCTCCCTACATTTATTACTTGAAGTTCTTCTGTTTGTTTGATTTGCTGAAACTTACTCATGGTGGATTTTTTCCTTGTGTGTTTTTATAGTTTTGAAATGAAAGCTCAATCTTTAGCTGAGTTTTATCTGTATTAAACCTGGTCTATCCTCTAGAAGTGTTTTGCATTCGCTTCTCTGGGGTATTCCTGGCCTGGGAACACTCATTAATCTCAGTTGGAGATTCCTGGGACCATACAGATGGCTTAAACTCAAATTCCCAATCCAAGAGTGACTAGGCCTATTGTTATGAATTCTCAGAGGAGACTCCTCTACACTCCAACACCCCAACCTAGGGCTTAGATTGAGGCAAACTACACCTCCTTATGCCAGTGGATAGGTTTTTTAAAATCCATTCTTTTTCTGGAGGTATCGTCCTTTGAGGTTCTTGGCTCTATATAAGTGTCTTAGTTCTAATTCTCTATTTTTTTTAACTTGTTAAAGTGTGTGTGTGCTTGCCCTCGAGAGAGAGGGAAATGAGGAAGCATTTCCACAGGGGACGGTCCTGCCACAGTCCCTTCTCCCTCTACTCACCTTTTGGATTCTGAATGTGTGTGCACGTGTGCGCACACACACACACACACACACTGCATGTCATGTTTTTGAAGCCTCTGGGTCCTCACAGGTGGCTATGTGGGATACAGCCACCTTAATCACCACAGCAGTAGTTGCCCCCTAGTTCCCTATCTTATGTGGTCCCAAGGACTTGTCGCCTATTCCTATTATGCCTTTTAAAACACATACTTTTGGTTACTGAAGAGATTCACAAATTTCCCCATCCAGTATTAGCTTGTAGACTGTGTTCTAGCTTTTGTTTTCTCAATGTTTTGGGACCCTGGGAATTTCTTTACATCTTACAAGTTAATGCGTTCATTTAAAATGTGGGGTTTTTGTTTGTTTGTTTGTTTGTTTGTTTGTTTAGCCAACCCTGTAGGCTAGTGGTGAAGGAAAGCCAGATCACACATGGCCTACCACAGTACAAATCCCAACCTTCCAGCTTGAGAAACACGCCAGGTGTATATGCACACATACCCAAAGTCCCAACAGCATGCAAACTCTGAGGAGAAGGGATTGCAACATGACTGTGCCCCACTGGAGGGTGCTTCCCCCCTCTCTCTCCTCTCTTTCTCCATACCTCTCTGGAGAGTACATACATCTTCTGGCAACTTAAAAAAATACATGTTTTTTCTTGTCTGCATAGGTAATCTAGATTTCTGTAGTGCCAAGATTGGAAATTCATGCATTACTGTCTAACTTAAATAATAGCTATTATATAAATTTGACATAAAAATAATGCTAAAGATATTCTTATTTTTAAATAAAAGTCAAACCTTTGACATGTAAAAGTAAAATATATACAAATGTGTTTATTAGGGAGACAGCATTCTTTTTACAGTTTTTTGTTCTTATTTACACACCAACCACTTATGTTTATTTGGTTTATTATACAATACTAGTCTTTTATTTTCCTCTTAGATATAACCGTCTGTAATGGAAGATGATTGAAGACAAGGGGCCTCGCGTTGCAGACTACTTTGTTGTAGCAGGATTAACTGATGTCTCAAAGCCTCTCGAAGAAGAAATTCACTTCAATGATGCCTGTCATAAAGTAGCTAAACCAAAAGAGCCCATCACAGATATTTCAGTTATTATTAAGTCTCTCGGGGAGGAAGTGCCCCGGGATTATGTGTGCATAGATGTGACCCCAACCGGATTATCAGCTGATCTCAATAATGGGAGTCTTGTGGGGCCACAGATTTACCTTTGTTATAGAAGAGGAAGAGATAAGCCTCCACTTACAGATCTTGGGTGAGTATTTGTCTAAATAAATTATGGTTATTGATCCAAAACATATCTTTATAGATTTTGAAGCTGTTTGTATTATATAGTAATACTATGATTTGAATGAGTCCCCCGAAAATTTATATGTTGGAATTTGGTTGCCTTACGAAGGTATTAAAAGGAGACTTAATCTAATTATGGTGTTGGAAGGTGGGGCCTTTGGGGTATGATTAGACATATGGGTGAGGCCTTCTCTGCTTGGGTCCTGGTGGGTTTATGTGGTTTACAATGAGACCAACAGAGTCACACTGTGCTCAGGCTCTTGCCTTCCGCTTTGTCCACCAGTAGCAAGACTTTTACCAGAGTCCCTGAAGCTTGAACCCCCTCAGCTAAAAGCTCAATAAGCCTGTCTTTATATACTACTCAGATTCAGGTGATCTTGTTATTAGCAACAGAGCGAACTAATACAGAAAGCTTCATAAAAATAGGCGAGTTTATGTCCAGAGTCCTGTATCCTCTTCTGTGCTCTCTTTGTCTCTTTGTCTTCCAGATTCCCAGCACTCTCATCTTGCGTGGGTTTCTTTCTGTTAGAGACAGGAGAGGGAATTTGAAAATTACATACCAAAAAACTACTAGAAAATTAACGTATCATTCTGATCAGAAAATTGTTCATTGTTTTTAAAGTATAAAAATGGATGCTTTTTAAGCATTTTATAATGACCATTATAGGAGGATGGTTAACTCTATGTATCTAACAAAGATCTTAGGGTAAATCAGAGCTTTACTTGGGGTAATATGTAATATATAATATGTATATAAGCTTTATCAAACTATAATTCACATACCATATAATTCACCCATTTAAAGTAGTTAGGTAGGTAGATTTTATTGGGTTGTCAGAAAAATCATGACATATTTTTCTATGGTTTTCTATGCAAAAATGTGTCACGATTTTTCCAGCCACGCAATAGTATATTGGCAGTTTTACAAACATCATCACAATAACTGTTAGGGCATTTGCAGCACAGCAGAAAGAAACCCTGTACTCAATAGTAGTATCTTTTCAATTCCCCATTACCTCCTTACCCTTCGGTAATCGCTAGTCTATTGTCTGTCTCTCTGGATTTGTCTATTCTCCCCCCCACCCCATATATGTGGGAATGGAATGTTTTTGGTTTGTTTTGTTTTGAAGTTTATTTCTTGTGAAGGAAAGAGAGAAGAGAAATAGAGATTGGGGGGGGCAGGCATCCTCAAGAGGGCCTGCATGCCATGAGCCTCCCCCAGCCTCAGCCAGCCTATATCATAGGTGGGTACGTGGAGACCTGGGGATCTGAAACCACCATCACAGAGCGCTGTGTTGCCGCTGTGCCTCCTGTTGGCCCTCTGGATTTGCCTCTTCTGGACATTTTATGTAAATGAAAGTATACTACATGAAAGGATTTCAAAAATTCATGAAAAAATGCAACTAAACTATGAGTTTATTTTAGTGCAAAATAATTTAGATGTCTTTGCATAAGATACAAGTACGCTTTTCATGAGCTTTTTTTTTTTTTGGAGAAGTTTTTGCTATAAGGCACATGTGCTTGCCAGAAAGAGAGAGACAGAGAGACAGAAGGCAAGAAATCACCCCCCAGGAGGGATGGCCATGCTGCAATCCCTTCTCCTCCATTCTCCTCTTGGGATCTTGGGCACGCATGCACACGCACCCAGCGTGAGTTTAAGCCACCGGATCCGGGACTTGAACCGCTGTCGACTACATGGAAGTCCAGCGATACAGTCATTACGCTAACTGCTAGTCCCTTCATGAGCTTTTTGAAGACCACTCGTATATAGTCTTTTGTGACGACTACCATGTTTCCAAGGTTGATTCATGTTCTAATATGTGTCCATATTCTAATCCATTATATGGCTGAATAGTATTCATTCCATCATGTGGCTATACCATAATTTATTCATCAGTTGATGAGCATTTGAGATGTTTCTAGTTTTTGGCTATTATGAATAATGATGCCATATATATTTACATACAAGTTTTTAATGTAGACATACGTGTTCAATTTTCTTGCATTTGTACCTAGGAGTGAAATTGCAAGGTTTTACGGTAATTCTATATTCAGCCTTTTAAGAAATTACCAAACTATTTTCCAAATCAGCTGCATCATTTTGTATTCCCACCATGAGGGCTCCATTTCTTTACATCTTACTGACATTTCACATTGTCATTGGATTATAGCCATCCTACTGGGAATAAAATGATCATCGTGGTCGTGGTCTTGATTTGTGGTCATCTGAAGGCTAAGGATGTGGAGCAGTTTTTCGTATGCTTATTGGCAAGTTTGTATATTTTTGGGGAGATGTCTTCAGATTCTTTACCCATTTTTTAATTAAGTCATCTTATTATTGATCTGTAAAGCTCTTTACATATTCTAGATATACTCTATTAGTTGTGTGATTTACAGATATTTTGTTCCATCCTGTATGTTGTCATTTCACTTTCTTAATGGTATCTTTAAAGGCAAAGTTTAGATTTTATAACTGAGTAGTATAGGACTCAGAAAGGTTAAGTAACTGCCCAAGGTAATGTAACAAGTAACAGGTGTTAGGAATTTGAATTCAGAGATATCTAACTCCTGTGTGTTTAGTTGCATTTTTTAAATTAAAAAAAAAAAAAAACAGAAAAACAAGATCAAAAGAAAGAAGAGTAAGCACGTTAGTTAACAGCATTAATGCAGTTGTATGATTAAACATTGAATTTGGCTCTGAATTTTCAAAATAAAATATTGAATGAAATTTTCTTTTAAATTTGCTGACAGCAGACTGGCAGATGGCATGTTAGTTAAAGGCGCTGGACTCCCATGTGGCTGACCACGGTTCAGGTCCTTGAACTGTGGATTGCTTTCTCACTTTCTCTCTCTCTCTGTGTCTTGCTCTGGTCAATTTTAAAAAATAATAATGATAAATAGAATAAAGGAAATAATGCTTTCAAAAAAATTGCTGACCACAAGAATGAAATAGGAAACTAAAAATTATACTAGAATGAAATCATTTGACCAGTTCCTGGCACTACATTCTATTTGTATAATAGATTTTATATAAATAAAGGAAAGTTAATTAATATTAAAGACATCGCCTGTTTATGACAAGTTTTATAGCAAATGCAGAGAAATGCAGCAACATATTTAATATAGTATAACTTAAATTTTTGTGGTTGGTTTTTACTGATGCCAAAGATTTAACATTAAAGTACAGATCAGTGAACTCTGTGAGGGAATAAAGTAATATTATTCAAACATGATGTTTTCTTAGTGTCCCTAAGTGCTTCAAGTGTAGTATTTAGCAGACTTAAGGAATGGATGCTAGGCCTGTTCTTTATTAAAATTCTATGATTTTACCACAATAAAGAAAATGGAAAAGAAAAAAGGCCTAGTCTGTCATTCAGACTTATAAATTCTAGTAAATTTATTTTTAATTTACATTTAGTCATTGTACATCTTTACAGCATACAGTATGGTTTTTCAAAGCGTTCATGCAGTTCATGTCAATCAAGTAAAAAATATTACCATATGTATTTTTCAACAGATGAGTTCACATTCTTATGTCTGCCCTTTTTTTCCTACGCCACTCCCTCCTACCTCCTCTCATCCACCTCCTCCTGTACAGTCTCTGGTATCTACACTTGCCCTCCTTGCGTCAAATATATCTTCAAATCTCTCTATTTTTGCTGTAAAATATAGACATTTTGATTAGGTAGATTTGAGGTTATATCCTCTTAGACTGAAAGTATCTTAAAGCTGAGGGAAATACTGGAGATAAAAATGTGCAGGTTGGTTTGTTCTCTACTGTCTAGGTAAGTAACCCTTTGTAAAATTTGGACTTTGGCCGAAATGCAAGTTGCTTTTTCTCAAGGAGATGCTTGGTTTAAGGGGAGCCAGCAGTTAGCGTAATGGCTATGTCGCTGGACTCCCATGTAGTCGACCGTGGTTCGTGTCCCGGACCTGGTGGCTTAAAACTCACTCCGGGCGCGTGTGCATGTGTGCCCAAGATCCCGAGAGGAGAATGGAGGAGAAGGGATTGCGGCATGGCCATCCCCTCTGGGGGGTGATTTTTCCCTTTCTATCTCTCTGTCTGTCTCTGTCTGTCTGGCGAGCGCATGCGTCCTATAGTGAAAAAGACTCTCAAAAAAAAAAAAGATGCTTGGTTTAAGAGACATGGAATAAGTAAATAATTCTGTTAAGCTGCAGACTATAGTAGTGTCTTTACAGTTAGTTACTGTCATTCTCTGATTTATGTTAAAATACAAAGATGTATCTGAAGTTTTTCCTACATTTTTCAAATTTTTAGTATGGAAAAGTTATCCTTTAATTGTATTCAGGACTGAGCAATTCAAACTTACAACAAGATTGGAATTTTTACCACACCGCTGCATTTCAGGGTCAGTTCATGATGCATGAGAGTATTACTTTGATATTTTATCCTTGTGTGTTTTTAAAATGTATTTTTTAGGGTTTTATATGACTGGAAAGAAAGATTGAAACAGGGCTGTGAAATTATTCAGAGTACTCCCTATGGGCGCCCTGCAAATATTAGCGGCAGCACCTCATCACAAAGAATTTATATCACTTATCGAAGAGCCTCTGAAAACATGACTCAGAATGCATTGGCTGTCACAGACATATGTATTATTATACCCAGTAAAGGAGAAAGTCCACCACACACGTTCTGCAAAGTCGACAAGAACCTCAATAACAGTATGGTAAGTGACTCTTTTGCACTGATGAGAAGAGCATGATTTTAATTGAATTTTATTTTGAAACAGTATGGTATAATTACTGAGTTGAAAAATAGTTTTTGAAGACGTCAGGGTTTTTTTTGTTTTGTTTGTTTGTTTTTAGGTTTTTGTCATAAGGCATGTACTTGCATTCACTGGAGAGATACCTGGAATGAGAAAGTGAGAAATCACCCCCTCCCCAACCCCAGAGGGATGGCTACACCATAGTCCTTACTCCTCCGTTCCCCTCCTGGGATTTTGGGCCTGCATGTACATGTGCCTGGCATGATTTTCAAGTCATCAAGTCTGGGACTTGAACCTTTCTTGGCCATGTGGGAGTCTAGCACCTTAACCACCACACCACCTGCTGGCCCCCAAAATTTTTAAATCTATTAATACAGTCTTTGTTTCCATTGAACTGTAAGGTAATACAAGCACATGTAGATCTTTGGAGTAGAGGTACAACTCTTTTTCAACTCTTTTAGAAAAACCAAGGTAGACAAACAACAAAGGAATTTGTGTAATGTACAGAAGGAATCGGAAAGTAGTCAGGACTAAATTATCAATGTGTTGTTAATGCCCAGCAGTATAGTTATATAGCTTACTCTTGTTTAAGAAGATTACGTAATTTAAATGAAAGCCATGTTTCTAAACCAGAGGAAGAGAAAACAGACAATCCCATAAGCATGAGGGGATGTGTCCTAAATCTTTCTGCAAAGTTCATACATGATTTTTGTATTGGGTTTATAGTTTTGGCTTAAAAAAATAAATAAACAGATTTCCCATCTTCTTCAGCATCCATTAATCCTATTTTCTATTAAAGTCTTCCAAAATTATTAGTTTTTAAATCTTGGACCACAGCCTTAAAATATTTGTACTTTGATTGAATATTAGAATAGAATCATAATACTTTAGAGCTGAATAGGAACTTAGGATGGTCACATGATCCAAAACTACAAAAACTTGAAGTTAAGGATATTTAACACTAGATTAAATAACTTGGTTTAATTCACACAGCTAATTTGAGGCAAATTTGGGACTGTCTCTTAAATTTTTTACTTTAATTGAAAGTATTTCTTAAATTCTCTGTTCAAATGGCTTTTGTTTTACAACTTTTTTAAAAAGTCAGCATTTAGGGACCAGCAGTTAGCGTAGTGGCTATGTCGCTGGACTCCCACATAGTCGACCGCGGTTCGCGTCCCAGACCCGGTGGCTTAAACTCACGCCGGGCGCATGTGCATGCGTGCCCAAGATCCCGAGAGGAGAATGGAGGAGAAGGGATTGCAGCGTGGCCACCTCCCCTGGGGGGTGATTTCTCACTTTCTGTGTCTCTGTCTCTCTCTGTCTGTCTGGCGAGTGCATGCGCCCTATAGCAAAAACCTCTCCCAAAAAAAAAAAAGTCAGCATTTGATTTAGCAGGTTTATTTAGAAAAAGTAGGGTCGCTAATAAAGTAAGTAATTAAATCATGTACCTAATTCCTGAGAAAATAATCATTTAAGATGATAGTTTTTACTATAATGTGGAGACCAGCAGATGGTATAATGGTTATGTCGCTGGACTCTCTTGTCATTGACTGCGGTTTGAGTCCTAGATCTGGCAGCTTAAAACTCAGGCTAGGCGCGTGTGTGTGCATGCCCAAAATCCCAAGAGGAGAATGGAGGAGAAGGGATTGCGGCATGGTCATCCCTCCTGGGGGACGATTTCTTGATTTCTGTTTCCCTTTCTCTCTTTGTCTCTCTGGTGAGTGCACACACCCTATAGCAAAAATCTCTCTCTAAAACAAAACAAAACAAGGTAAAACAAAAAATCCTATAATGTGAATACTTTATAGGTAGAAAGTTTATAAAGTATTGTCAGAGCATTGTCTTACTATGTCTCTTCATGCCTCAGCCTGCCCTGTGCTGAGTTTACAGGTGTGCACCACTATGCTAGCTTTTAGGGTGAATGGGACTCAAATCCTGGCCTCCCATGTGGCCTCAGCTTGCCAAATAGCAGGGCCAATCAGTGTAGCCGGGCTTTTTCTTCCTATCTGTTTTGCTGAATCTTGTGAGAAAATTTTTGAAAACTTGCAATTTTGATAAAGCTCTATAACTTTTACAGGATCTCTAAGTTTCTGTTTTTCATTTTAGAAAGTTCTTTTTGGTTTCTGTCATATCTAAATGATCAAATAGTTACCTTTTTGTTATCACAAAGGTTATCATTGAAGTTTTTTGGTTATCTTTACAAATTGGACTTACTTGGAACTAGAGTTAGGACTTTTCAATAGAAGGCTTATTTTTTTTAAAAAAATAATTACTTTATTATCATCTTTTAAATGACCAGAGAGAGACACGGGGGAGGGGGATGGGAAGTGAGAAAGCAAGTCGCCAGGTCCAGGACTTGAACCATGGTTGGCCATGTGGGAGTCGAACACCATTAATCACCATGCATGACATCTGCCAGCCCCAGAAGGCTTATTTTTATAAGTTTTTTACCCACTTGATAAACCAAAACTTCGTCTGCTAGTTGCCTACATTTATAATAGCCACTTGACTTTTTAAATTTTATTTTCCAGAGGGTGCATGTGTTCATTAGAAAGAGAGAGAAAACATGCTTCCCCGCCATGGGGCATAGGCAAGCCACAATACCTTCTACTCTGTTTTTCCATTCTGTTGGGATTTTGGACACACATACACATGCTTCAGCATATTTTGCAAGCTGCCAAAGCTGAGATTCAAACTGTGGTCAGCCATGTGGGATCTAACTCCCTTAGCCACTAGGCTACCTCAGACTTGACTTCAGTACATTATTATGACTTTAAAAACATGTCTTTAGCACATTAGAATGTTAAATCTTGCTTGGGACATTACATTATTACTATATTGGGATTATTTATAGAAATATTTTATTTTATTTATTTTTTTTTTTGAGAGGTTTTTTCGCTATTGGGCACGTGCGCTCGCCAGACAGACAGGGAGAGACATAGAGACAGAAAGCGAGAAATCACCCCCCAGGGGGGATGGTCACGCCGCAATCCCTTCTCCTCCAGTCTCCTCTCGGGATCTTGGGCACGCACGCACACGCCCCCGGCGTGAGTTTTAAGCCACCGGGTCCGGGACGTGAACCGCGGTCGACTACGTGGGAGTCCAGCGACATAGCCATTACGCTAACTGCTGGTTCCCTAGAAATATTTTATTTTTGCATCAGGAGAAATTTTTCCAAGGCTATAATATAATCCATTAAATTATCTTTTTTTTTGAGAGTTTTTTTTGTTTTGTTTTGTTTTCGTTTTGTTTTGTTTTGTTTTTGCTAGAGGACACGTGCACTCGCCAGAAAGATAGAAAGAGACAGAAAGCAAGAAATCACTTCTCAGGAGGGATGGCCATGCTGCAGTTCCTTCTCTTCCATTCTCCTCTCGGGATCTTAGGCACACACACATACCTGGCATGAATTTAAGCCACCGGGTTCTGGACTCAAACCACAGTCGACTACATGGGAGTCCAGCAACATAGCCATTCCAACTGCTGGTCCCTCCATTAAATTATCTTAAAATAAAGGTTAAGATTTGTTTGTTTTGTTTTTGTTTTTGTTTTTTTTGGTCTGAAACTTGCAGGCGCCCAAATATTATCTTCTGTGTGCTGTGCTATTTAAATAAAAGATGTTTAAATATTATTCCCTTTCCTTTTTAGTTAGACTATGTTAAGCTTTTATTCAGCCAGGCAAAATGGCTATGATTAAAAACAACAACAACAAAAAGCTGAGAGTAACAAATGTTGACAAGGCCGTGGTGAAAGGAGCTCTCCTGCACCGTTGGTGGAAAAGAAGATGGTGGTTCCTCAGAATTTACAAATAGAATTACTATATGACCTAGTAATCCCACTCCTTGGCATTTACTCAAAGGACAGGAAGACATTCAGTCAGAGGAACATTTGCACATCTATGTTTATCGTAGCATTATTCACAATTACAGGGATCAGCAGGTGGCATGATGGTTAAGGCACTGGATTCTCCTGAAGACAGTTTGAGTCCCAGATCTGGCGGCCTAAAAATCACTCCAGGTGTGTGTGCGCGTGTGTGCAAGCCCAACATTCCAGGAGGAGAATGGAACAGAAGGGATTGCAGTGCGGCCATCTCCCACACCCTGGGGAGGGGCTCACTTGCTCTCTCTCTCTCCAGTGGATGCACATGCTCTCCTATAGCAAAAAAAATAAAAATAAAAAATAACAAGAACAAAAGTTGAAAAGCGGAAATGTATTCTTTTTGAATCTGTAGGATATTGTCTTTTCTTGATAAAAGCTTTTTAAAACATGGTCATATAGCACTAACTATATTTTTTCTGATTGCTATTGATGAGATTTTAAGTATGTGTAATTGAGAACTGTATTAAATATGTGAGCTTCAGTATCAGAGACACCAAGAGAATAATTGATATTCGGATGCCTGGCTTATTACATGACAATTCTTATGCCACTTGTCTGTGTTTGTGTAATACTGATATTTTCCCAAAGCCTGTCTTAGCTCTTACCTCTAAGTGGTTACTTTTTACCTGGGTTTTACCTGGTCTATAATGTTCTACTTAATCAGAAACGACTTTAGTAAGTCAGTTCTCATTTAATTCTTGAAAGGATTACATGTGCAAATAAATGAATGTTTCTGAATATTCAAAATAGATAAAAGTTTTGATACTACTAAAAGCTTATATTTTATTTCTGACTCAGAACTACCCCATTTTCAGTTTGTGTGCTCTCATGCTCACAGCGGTAGAAAGAACAGTTACAAGGCAGAAGGGGAAGGTGCCGAGGGGGAAGGCTTATAAACTACAGTCACACTGATGATAGCAGTGACAAGGATCGTGGGACGCAGAAGAAAGAGTAAGGAATTTAAAAGGTTTGTGGAGTATTGAATAGGATCAAACATCTCTACACATCTCAGTAGTCCCTCAGGACATTACCATAATTAATATTCATTTGATGGTTCTAATAAGTGTGTCTTTACTAAAATGTTG